AAGTTGCTGCCTCTATGACCCCTGGTTCTTTGGTAGTAGCCTATAATATTTTTGTGACCTTAGGAAATCTCAGTCTTGGCATATCAAGAAGAACTGATTACAACATTTATATCACCTTAGCTAAATAGTACAATGAATAATAATAATAGCATCTAACACAACCTAGAAAGTGACAACTATAGCATTAACTATTAATTTACCACCTATAGCACTGTGGTCTGGGTATGTGGCTATTTCTATAAATGTATCTAAAAAGAACCTGAAAGCTGTATGCAGTAAATAAGCCTTCCATATGATGATTTTACCCTCAAGAATGAGAATTTAAACAAGATGAGGCAGAAAAACAAAATAAGAGAAAGCGATTAAGAGCAAGGCTGGAGGACAAAGCAATAAAAACAAATGTTCAGTTCAAATCAAGCCTTGACTGTCACTGGTAGATAAATTGGGCAGAATCCAGATACATGTTGATTAATCCCAGCAAGCCAGCCATAGCTTTGCAGCAGGGTAGTGAATAATCCCAGCAAGCCTGCACTTAGCGTTCTACTACAGCTCAGGCTGGTTGCTGGCTGTGCAACTGGAACCGGGTTTGTTCAGCCTGCAATGCTGCATGCACCAGGGCCAGCTTGAACGTGGTGCCCTGGTGGCTAGAGCTGGGGTCCTTGATCCCCTGCCAGCTTGAACTTGGCAGCCTCATACTGACACTGTCAGTCTTATAATTTTCATTGCATAATTCTTCTGGTCTTTGTTGTTTCTCCCTTGAATATTGTTTGTTTGTTTATCATTTTTAATAAGTTTTTTAACTTTCATTTCAAGAAGCTCTCAAATAAATACAGCAATGTTATTGATATTGTGTTGTTGATTTTTGTATCTTCCAATTTTAATGAATTTATTTATATCTTATATCTGCTTCTTCTGCTTCTTCTGCTTCTTCTGCTTCTGCTTCTTCTGCCTCTGCCTCTGCCTCTGCCTCTTCCTCTTCCTCTTCCTCTTCCTCTTCTTCTTCTTTTTCGTCTTTTTGAATGAGGGTCTTACTATGCATTTCAGGCTGGCCTTGAGCTCACTTTGTAGCACAGTCTGGTTTTGAACTTGCAATAATTATCCTGCCTCAGCCTTTTGAATGCTGGGATAACAGGCATGTGCCACCACACCCAGATTTTTATATCTTCTTCTTTTTTATTTTTTATTTTTGGTGGAACCGGGGATTGAACTCACAGCTTTGCACTTGCCAGGCAAGCGCTTATTCTACTAAGCTATCTCCTCAGCCCCATTATTTATATCTTCTAGTCATATTTTTGTTGCAGTTATTGTGATTTTCCATTGAAAAGTACATGACATCCACAATGTTAATTTGACTTCTCGCTATTTAACTCTGCCTGATTTATCAGGCTACAAAACTGAGCATTGTATTGATTAAACTTATTGAATATGTAAATTTTGTGTTTTAGATCTTAGGAAATTCTTGCATCTTTTCTTCTATTCAGCATATTAGCTATTGATTCAATACAAATGTTCTATAATGCACTGAGCTATGTGTTTTCTATGTCTTCTTTCTTCAGTATTATTATCATGAAGGGATTTTACATTTTATGAAATGATTTTTGACATTTATTTTCTTATAATTGTTGTTCTTCATTATGATGATGTAGTGTATTATAACTGGAATACAATTATTGAATGTCTTCGCATCACTGGTTTAAATCTTACTTAACTATGATGAATAATCTGGGTGATTTACTTTAAGATTCAGTTTTCTAGTGTTCTGTTGAGGATTTTGGGTTCTATTTACAAGGAGGGAGTTGACTTCTAGGTATTTTCTTTTAAATTTTTTTCTTTCATATTTAGTTGATAGATTTATGTTCAATTTCATCACAGTAATAATTGACTACAGATAGAATATTTAATATTTTGCCTTGATTATCATAATAGTTCAGGAATATGTGTAGAATTAATGAATGGTTACCTTAGGTTTATGTTAGCACCATAGCTCAGTAATGAACAATGACAATTTTCACAAATACATAGAAGCTGGCACATTTTGATGTATTTCCCATCAATAAAAATATTAAATATTAATGAATTCCAATTTCAGATGTACTATGTGTGGGAAGTATTTAGCTATTAATTTTGAAGTTTTTAAATCACAAAGAAAAGTAGGAAAAAGGGCCTAATGAACCTCAAGTAATTCGCATTATCATTCAGTAACTACCAGTATTTACAATTAATGGCTTATCCCTCCTTCCACATTTGTTCATAGTTTAGAGAATTTTCACACAATTGCACCAGAAAATGAGCAATATTATTTTTAAGAAAAATAAAGATGAATGAACACCTCAAACGGGATGTTTTTGAAATTAATACTCTAGGGCTTTTATTTTAAAAATTTTGGTTCTAGGCCAGAAAGACACCTCAATGGACTAAGGGCTTTCTTAGGCAAGGGTAGGGACCAGGTTCCATGTCTGGCACTATGGACCACACCGGGCCGAACCCCAGGCCCCTGAATTGGCCGCTGACACTAGGTGTGGTGCTGCAGGCCTGTAATTCCAGTGCTAGGGAGGCTAAAAACAGTAGGATCACTACAAGACCCAGCTGTATAATGAGAACTTGTTCAAAATATCTTAAAGAAAAACACTTTTCAACATTTATATTTTGTTTGTTTTACTTTTAAATGTTGGGAAGTAGTGATTAACATAATTAAGCCTTTCAATTTCCTACATAAATTTTAAATTATCAAAATACATTTATTAACAAGGAGCTTAAAAATATAGTTTAAGATTCTCATCATTTTATACTTACAAAATTTTGTAAATGAAGAGGTCAAATATAATTGACAGTCACTTTTAAACAGTCATTTGCACAGACCATAAAGATATACTTTTGACATGCAGCAACATTGATCTATTTTTTTGTTTTGAAAAAAAAATATATATATATATATACAAATAAGTTAATTAAATCCTTAGTTTCTTCATGCAAAATCATGCTCACAACTTTTCTAATGATTTTTTTACATATAAACATTTATTTTATTTTTTAATTTTTAATTTTTATTCTTTCCGGAAGTTATGAGCAGAATCTATTTATTGAGGGAAATGAAGCTCCTGTCCGAGAGAAGGACAGGAGGCGGGCCCAAGTGGGTTGTCCCCTGAACCTTTATTTTATGAAGTTGGACTTCCTAGCCATTTGTTAAGTATTCCTTTCCATTTGGTTGCTCCTTTGTACTTTTTCTTTAGTCAGTTCAAACATTCTAGACTTTAGCAAACTAAAATCACACTGCACAGTGTTATCTACTTTATTCAATATGTTCTTAAAAATGCCTGTAAATCTAGAGAAAGACCACATTCCAGAGAGTTCATTTGATTCCCTGTGAGCATTATCATGAAATTGCCTGGGTACATGGAGATGAATTCACCCAGCAAGCACTATTTGTTGATTTATGGCAGGTAAAAATGCTGTTAGTTAAAATTTACCTACCCTCAAAATAAATGAGATTTGGAAAAATGATACAAATTAAAATTTGTCCCAATATATGTGTGTTGTGCATCTACTAATAACATGGAAGATAAAATCATAAGCCTTAAACAATCTACTCTTATCTCTTGGTGTTCTAGATTACATAGCATAATGGAACATATTTAAAGCATAAATAAAAACAAAAGTTTACATAAAATGTTTTCTTCATATGGGAAGGTTTATTTTAATATTTGAATGATTAAATGTCAATTAAGTAAGTGTAATATCAATGTAAAAAATATATCGCTCCTTCACGGATTAAAAAATTTGTTTTTGCTTTTCCTTGTGAACAGTCAATGTGTAGAGGTAGTATTTTTCCTTAAGAGACTTTGTATCCTTGAAGTTTTGCTGGCCTTTTTCTTGAAAGGTACACACATTTGTTTCCAGATTCTAAGTTCCTAAATGCGAATAGTGTGGTTTTCCCAAATAGTGAGAGAGAGTAGACTTCTCAGATCCTGATAAAAATGCCCAAGGACTGAACATGAACTAGGCTGTGGGGTTATGTAAACAACAGAGGCAGCCAGGTTCTCCCAGACAGACAAGAAGTCAGTGATTGCCTGGGGGAGTTAGACCTGAAAAACAGAAACCTGCTGAGCTGGAGAGAGGATGCTTCATAGGTCATGTTTGTGTTTAGTGGCTTCTCTGAGTTGTGAATACAAGTTTGCCCATCAGAGAAATGATTCTAAGCAGTCATGGTGTCCACTAAAGACGGGAAACTTTTATTGCCTTTTGAGTAAGTTGTAAAACCCTTTTTTGTGGATGTTTAACTGAACAGGAAAAAAAAAAAAAGGAAAAATCCTTAAAAGTGATTAATATTGAAATTCTCCCTGATATTGAAAAGGGAGTATTGGGTCATATGAGCATATTTGTCTATTATTTTAAAGCATCATTTAATAATTATGTGAAACATAAACATATAAATGTTAGCTCAATTCAAATTTACTGAATTATCCAAGAAACTGTGAACTTTTTCATCTCAGGCTATGTGTACACAGGCCTTCTTATAAATGTACTGTGATTCATCACCTCTGGAAAACTGCAGTTTTGTGAAAATTGATGATCTGTACTGAGGTCCATAACAGTATATTGAAAAAAAGAGACTGGGGAGAAGAAGCTGTTTAAAATTCATAAAAATATTAGCCCTGACTATGAATACTGCTGAAAATGTATGACCATATTTACAGAGAGCAAGGGCATCAGCTACAGGGAATAGGGTTTCCAAATATCCTAATCCCAACCCAGGTATTTGCCACTTGCAGCAAAACCAACTATAAAATTAATTGTCAATAGACACACAAGAGTTATTCCTTATGGGGGATGCTGGCCTGGGTGCAACATACCTCTCGGATTAATACCAATCTCAGGGGGTCGACAACAATGTGCACTTTAGAGCTGTCCTTGGTTACACTTCTTCGGCTGAATAAGAATAATTATACAGAGAGTCTATGTAATTGTTTTCTGCATTTGTTTGTGTCTGCAGAGATGCCTACCTCATCAGAGCCGTCTGCACAGTCAAAATCTCCATCACACCAAAACCTTGAAGAAACACAGTCACCACTGGCACAGAGAAAATCTTTCAGTGTACAGGTCTGCGGCTCTGAGAAGAGAAAAATAGCACAAGGTATTCTATTATATATAATTGCATTCTAAAATTTATATGGCACAGCACATATGAACGCATTAAAGGAAAAAAAGAGGTTAGCCAAACAGAATCAATAAATTGTTTAGGAAGGGAAAATCTCATGAAGCATCTATAGTACAGAATATAAAGATTTTTTTTCAAATTTATTATAAAGCCATGAATATAAAGTAACAATACAGAAAAAAATTGAAAAACAAGGCAAGAGTTAGGCTCCTATTTAGCAAAAATACAGTAGCAAAGTAAAATGAAAGGCAAATATCTTCGCATGTTTTTATCCTGTAACAAAAATCTCTTCTAGTTAGAATTTTTATTCATATATTGAAAGGCCTTCTGTGACTCTGTGGACTTACGAGTCTCTGTGTTATATGGAATGTGGGTGAGCCTTTGGTTCTTGACTTTTTATGATGTAATATAGTCCATTTTAAGTTTTTCAGTTTTGTCACCAAAAATTCCATATGGACAATAATGGAACATGGGTTTGACCACGATTAGGTATAATAGGGCAAACATTTAAAAAGAAGTTGTTTTCTCTGAAAGCAGTCCATTCACTTACACTATGGTTTGCTTCTGTCCTAAATAATTTACCTGACAGCTTAACTAATTTGCTACTTACTGATTTCCCTGTGTTTTTGCATTTTTCATGACTAATATGGGCCAAAGAGTTTGACTTACTGCCTGGCTTAACACCCACGTGAAAGATGCTTCATCTGGACAATGATGTAGGACCTGAGAAAGGCGTTTCTGAACATAATTACTTTGAATTCTGAACATCAACTATTGTTCAGAATCTTATCTGCTATGAGGAAAAATGACCCCTTGTATTTACTGTATTCATTAAATGTGTTTACAATTGTATCACACACAAGAATATTCTTATTCAGGGGAAGGAGGAATACTTAACAAGCATTACAATTAGGGAACACAAAAAAGAAGCCTAAGCTTCTGCACATATGCACTGTGTGTGATCCAGTCTGCATTTGAATCTTGCTCTACACGGTCCACTCAGTCTCTAGGTAAAGGGTAGCATCTTGGCTGATTGGTATTAGGAAGGCATTTATATTTTACATAAAAATGTTGAGAACATTCAGAGGGCAGTGGAAATTGTACTGTGTGTAAGACAGAGTATTTGGTTCTGCTTGTGAATTTATTTTGCTTTAAAATAAAAGCTTCTTATAAATACAATAAGATAATAGGAGGGCCAGCCAAGTAGCTCAGCAGATTAAAGTGCCTGCAAGCAGGCACAGGGGCTGGGGGTTCAAGCCCTGGGCCTGCCATGCCTGCCCTGCCTCCAGGGGGTGTACTGAGACAGCAATTGAGACTCGGTGTGGTGACGTGCACCTGTAATACCAGCTCCTGGGAGGCTGTAAACAGGAGGATCACTATGAATCTGATCTAATAGTGAGCCCCTGAACATGCTGTAGACCCTTCCCTAAAATACAAAAAAAAAAAAAAAAAAAAAAAAAAGATAACATCTAATGGAATAGGGAGCACCTACTAAACAGGCAATCTCATACCTCTCATTTAAGTAACATGACAATAAAAATTCTCCTTTTGTCTGTATGATATGTTTATATTTAATTCATCTTTAAAATAATTATATTCATACTACTGCTGCTATTAATAACTAATCACCATTTTTGTTGTTGGTAGGCACTAGGCATAGGTTTGATAAATACTTGTAGTAATGCACCAGTGGGTCCACCTAAGTCCATAAAGCATGTGCTACTGATGTACCCTTTCTAGATGAGTAAACTGGGATTCAAAGTGGATGAGAAATTAACTCCAATTCACCCAGTATATAGAACAACTACTGCTAAACTGAAACCAAAGAATCTAGACACCAGGGCTGTGAGTTTTACAACTTACTACATCAGTGTCTCTCAAACAGCTGAGGAAGGAAGAGATGTTTATATATTGCATATATTAACATTAAGACCCTCAGAAATCAATTTACTCTTCCAAATACATGTTTAATAATACCTACATTTTTCATAATGATGACATACTGGCACACACTGATATCTCAGCATTCAGCAAGTTGAGGCAGAAGAATGGCTGCAATTGAGGTCAGCCTGGACTACAGAGTGAGTTTTCAAGGCCAGCATTATCTACCTAACAAGACCTTGACCCAGAAAAAAATATATATATATAAAGAGGAATCTTTTATTTTTTGTCAGTTCATACTGGATCAATTTAATATCCTTGTCTTTGCACATGCATGAATTATCATACATAAAGACAGTAAACTGTAATACAATATGTGCAACAATAGAAAATAACAACCAAAAAGGTCCATGTTACATGAACAGAGAGATAGTATTTCCATAGTATACCATGCTTAAAGGTTAAAAAGTGCAAAAGGATCTTTTAATTGCCTACCAAAGGGAATCTAAAGATTAATTCTTTATCATTCTGAATTGCTTTTATCTTATTTAAAAGCAAATGTGTTAATTACATACCAACCAGCAACAGCTTTGTAGACTTTGATATATTTTGCTGTACGAAAGGTAATAGCTTGAGGCAAGAGTAAAAAGTTATATAGTCAATACCTGGAGACGCTTACAGGATAGTTCCACAGATAATATTTTTGTGCAGACATTTTATTATTACTAAATATTCTGTTTCACAAAAAGGGTGAAGATACTGTCATTTGTTGGGAAGAGAACTCCCTGTGAAAATACAAATTCTTTACACTTCTATGATGCTTTAAAAATACCAGCACATCTGGCCTGGAGAGATAGCTCAGTGGACTACACGCCTGCTTAGGCAAGTGCAGGGGCCAGGATTTGATTCCAGGCTACACATGCTGAACTGGCCTTGTCCCTGGGTGTGTTGAGATGGCACCGAGTCTGGGCGTGGTGGCTCACACCTGTAATCCATTGCTGGGGAGGCTGAAAATAGGAGGATTACAAAATCCCAGCTGCATAGAGACCCTATATATTTAAAAAATCAGCCCACCTAATTCTGTGAAACAAGCTTAAATTAATACATTTATGCAGATAGAAATCCCACCCAGGAATGGAGTAACTAGCCTAAGTGTGACTCTCAGGTAAAAACCATAAGCTTGGCTAGATAGTGTATGCAACTTTCTCTTGGCAAATGTGCTTTGATGGAGAGAAAAGCCCAACATTTTTTTTCTCTTTTACTTTTTCTTAACTAAAGTGAATGACTAACCTCCAGATTAGGAATGATTGTTCAAATATTCCTTGCAAAATGAACTACAACAAAAAGTACTTGTATCTAAAAGATAATCAATCTAGAAAAATACATTGAATGTGACTTTCCCTGCAATATCTCTAAAATGTTCTCCTTCTCCTAGTTTGCCCTGAATTTACCTATATACATAAGCTAAGAGTGGAGGGGGCTCCTCATACCTGAGCAATTAATGAGTTTTTCCATATGTTTTACATAGATAGGAAGATTGATATTTAAGACACTTCTGGGGATAATCTTTACACGATTCAAGACTCCAAATTAAATTGTACAATAAGAATATAAAATAAGGAAGTTCTATGGTTTGGTCATTATCTTCAATCCTGATACAGACCAAAGCATACCCTGTGGACATTGAAAAGAAGGTTGGAAAACATTTTCCACAAAATTGAAGAAACTAAAGTTGAAGAAATGAAATTAACTTAAAAATCCACACACTTAACAACAGAATAGAAAAACCTCTGTAGTTCAGGTTCTCCACAGAACGTATTATCATGACCATTTTTGATGACCTTTAAAGTTATATGAATGTGGGTATAAAAAGACAAGAATGTATTTTTACAATGCACTTTATACAACACCTATCTTATACAAATAATGTGATACAAAGTCAGTGTGAAAGTACCAGATACCCACATAGAGTAGCTTGTCTCCTTAAAATGCTATAGTCAAATACATAAAATTTATAAGATTGTTAATTTCCTCTTCATACAAAGATATAGCTCATTTTGGACCTCAGTTACTTGGAAAGCATAAATGTCATGTATCTTTGGTAGATAAAAATATAGGTGGTGAGATTTGTCAAGCATTTCAAAATCTGTGATCTAGATTACAAAATTATTTGATTATCAATAAATTTTTTCTGTTTTTAAAACAAAAGTCATTGCTGAAGGAAAATAACTTTCTTTAACTTAATAAAGAAAATATTCAGCAGATGATTCTGAAATGACAATTAGTCCAATAAAACATAAAAGCATAACAAGATTATTAAATTTAAAGCATAGCTGTCAGTTAAATACTCCACTACTATTTGAACTTGTTCCACATATATATATATATATATATATATATATATATATATATATATATATGGAGTGCTTCTAGTACAATTTAAAAAGAATTAATTAAACAAGATTCATAAAAAATTCAAAAATGATTTTAAAAATACATTGCTATTGTTTTTAAGTTAAGGTTGATTTTTTATCTCTAATGTATTTCACTACTTAGTAATAGCATTGACTATCAGATGAAAACCCAGGTGCATATTTTTTGTCAAAATGTAGATAATATGAAAATGTGGTTTTGCTTCTATATGCATGTGTAAAATTATAGTTTAAATAACAAATACATTTAATAAAATACACAAATATTTTGACAAAGTGTAGCTAGATATATAGTAACTTCAGTAGATAAAAATAGAGAAATATCTGCATGTAACTCTCAATACCAATGCTTTTTTTTTTTTTTACAGAACCGGGGTTTGAACTCAGGCCCTTGCGCTTGCCAGGCAAGCACTTATTCTATTGAGCTATCTCCCCCACCAGTAAGAATGCTTTTTAACATTGGCTTCTATATTCTTGTGATCTTATTGCTATTGTCTTTTTTTGTAGTCCTAAGGATTGAAACAAGGGCCATCACAGTGAACTACAACCTTATCCCTATTTTCAAAGAGTGATTTTGAGGCAAGATCTCAGTATATCCTTGTAGTAACCAAATGGGGCTCCTGCTGGTGATCCTCCTGCTTCATCCTCCAGATTGCTGGGATTACAGGCTTGCACTGCCACGCTCAGCTTATTGCCAATTAATTGATCCATTCTTCCTTGACAGCTTTTGTCTATACAGAGCAACCAGCACGTACAATGTCAAATTCCTCTAGTCTTTGTAGGAGAGCATCATCAAACATCAAAATCTGAACAGCTTCTCAACAATCTGTACCATTTGGTTCTTCCTCTTATATATGCCACAGGCTCATTAAATCAGTATACTTGGATATTTGTCTTAACAAACACTTAAGTTCGCCTTAACATATAAACCTATTAATATGCTTATTCTGTGTATGCTTTTTATTCTTTCCTGTAACAACTATAATATAATTTCTTTTTGTTCACTGTCTATTTCTATGCAATTTCATCAGTATTTTTTCTGAGGCAAAAAACTCAGAGTAGATAGAAGCTACAAGAGAGCCATGAACACCTGGGTACTTTCTATTCAGTGCTTGGTATTGCAGCAACATCCTTTGCTTCTTCAGGGCGTTGTGGCTAAAGTGACTTAGTACTATTTCCACAGCGATTAGCCAGGCTCAGTTTCCTGTTTTGTTTTCATGGGCCACAAACGCTGATGTTTAGATGTCAGCACAACGATATTCAGTCAACTAGAAAACTACTGCAGACTTAGAGGCAGGCTATTTTGAACCTTCATCCTTCTCCTTTCCTTATTACACTGGGAGTCTAAGTTCTTACACACTATGAGCTACTCCCTTGAATAAAGGCTTTTCACACCTGTCACTCAAATTTCCTTCTCTCTCACCCCTTGCACTTCCAAATCATTCAGCCCTAAGTTATATGATTTCACGTATCTATGTGACAATCAACATCAAAGCACACCGAACTGTATGGCACCCGATACACAATGAAATGAAGTACATACTGTGTGTGACGTTTATCTTTTATGCGTTTATGCTTCTAGCCCTACAACCTTAATCCCAGCAATCTTTCCCATCCAATTTTTATTGCAATCACTGGACATCCCAGAGAGTACAATATATGATTCTTTGAAAAATTGCTAAATACATGAATCTAAATCATTCTAACCTCCCCAAAGTGTTTTCTGTATCTATGACTAGTTGGGAGTTAGCTGTGTGAAGGAGTTGGAGCAATTCTTATCATCAGAGTATTCAGTAATCAAAACGATACAGTCCTTAAATTTAAGGTACTCGATTCTCAACTACTCGTGAGATTAAACTTCGAAAAGTATTCAAAATATTAGTTCCTTTTTTGTAACTTAAATGTCTACATAATTTTTAACCCTTTTGCTCTACTAATTGCATGCCTTAGTATAACATATTCCTAGTAGTTTTAGCCCTCTCACTCTTGAGAGTGAATGTTGTTTTACCAACGAAATGTATGTAAAAGGGGACATTGTGATCAATGTGCTTCAAATAATTTTTGCAGGGAGCAAAATACAAATATTTAGCAGATAGAATACCATTACTACCTCATTTTAAGGATATTGTTTCACTTTTTCTCACTTAAAAAGCACTGATAAGAACTATCATCAGAAATAGCGAATGCTGTCGGCTCAGTGGTCATGCCCTTGAGTAGCACGTGCTGGGCATTGGGGAGAAGCCAAGGCAAAGTAGAAAGGAAACAAAGAAATATGCCCAGAAACTAATTTAAAAAATATAGAGGTAGTATCAAAATTTTATCTTGTGTCATATGTTTTAGACAATAAAATTGTTAGATATTTACTTTTATACATATTAAATGTACAAGAGAAAGATGATGATAAAAGTTTTTTTTCCAAGAAAAATATACGTATATACGCACCAAACACAGGAGCACTAACTATATAAGACAAATCTTTTTTTTTTAAATAGAAGTTGAGTTTATTTATTTATTTATTGCCATTTATTTATTTATTTATTTTTTATATTTTAAAAAATTTTTAATAGATTGCAAATTGAAAATGAATTATTTACAAACATAACTGAATATAACAGTAAAAACTGTCCAAAATAAAAATGAAGATAGAATTTACAGATCAGCCATAATAGTTCACTGTGTCAAAACCAAGACACTAATATTCATATAATTAGAATTCTCAAAGTAGAAAGGAGTAGGCAATAACTATTTAAAAATTTAAATTTTCTGAATTTAGTTCAACTTATAATACCACATTTCCAAGAAAAATGAACCTTTTGCAAAGACATTTAAAGTGTGTAAAAAACTAGATTAATTAAAGGACTGAAAGAAAAGATCTGTCCTCTTTGAATTTTATACTTAGCAAACATATCTTTGAAAACTAAAAGTAAGATTTTCTAGTTATACAAACTTGAAATATTTTAATATCTCCAGAAGTAGCATATAGGAAATAACAAAGAGCATAATTCAAAAGGCAAGAGAAGTTGCAGTATGCTCCTGGATGAACAATAAAGAGCTCTCAATGTGATAGTTATGCAGGACTATATAAAAACATATTAGATGAACGCTTATTTAAAGGTCATCCCAGATTTCTATGAAACAGTACCAATCTTATGTTGGGCTATACACATATTTTTTCCCCATATATGTGTGTGTATGTGTGTATAAAAGACAGGGATGAAGTAATATAAAGTTAACAGAAAATGGAAATATACTTTTCAAAGTTTCTAATACTAGGAGAAAATATCATACAATGTCTGTAAGACAAATCTTTTTTTTAAATTTTTTTTATTAGAGAGAGAGAGAGAGAGAGAGAGAGAGAGAGAGAGAGAGAGTGTGTGTGGTGTGTGTGTGTGTGTGTGGCCAGCTCAGCCCACCAGGGGGCGGGGCTGGCTGGCATGAGGTGCTGGGGGATTGAACCTTGGTCCCTGATGCTTTGCCAAGCTTGTTCTAAGTAGGTGCTTTAGACCACTGAGCCATCTCTCCAGCCCCTATAAGACAAATCTTAATCGACATGAAAACTCTAATATTCAATACCACGATCTTAACATGAGACCTTATCACCCCTTTACCCCAAAAGGATAGGTCAAGCAGACAAAAAAATTAGCAAAGAATTAGCAGAACTGAAACCAGAGCTTGGAAAAAATAGACGTAATGGACACATACAGAGTGTTCCACCCAAGCACAGCTGAATACACATTTTTGTCAGCTGCACATGGGTCATTTTCTTAAAAAAAAACAGAAAGCATTTTTTTTTAAAAAGAATAGCATCTTAAATACATATGATGTTCATTTCTGCAGATAAATAAGTGATAATTCACTGGAAGATACTCTCGGGTGAATTTCCGGGGTGAAAGATTTTGAGACGGAAATGAAATGAATGTTGTCTATTATACAACAAGTTAGTGGTGCCATCTCCTCCACAGCCCCCGGTATGAACCTGCATGGAGGAATTCCTTCATCGCAGAGTAATAGGTTGCATTAAACCTCGCTGTACATTCACACCAATTCTCAGAACTGGAGGAAAATAATTCTGAGGACAAGCATTTTAGTGATTCTATCTTTTAAGATTTAGGTCAATTTAGCCTGAATATTCTTGCCCAAAGTTAACATACATATGCCATTGCGAGCTGCAGGACACATAAGTTCACATTTTACCTCAATGGAAATAAAAGTTGCCTTCGGGACAATACTGCAGGGTTATTTAGCAAGAGCTACTTACTACAGTTTTCCTCATCAGAATTATCGCTGCAGTCATTCTGGCTATCACATCGCCAGTGATCTGGAATGCAGTTGCTGTTCTTACACTGGAATTCATGAGGGCCACAGGTCTTCTTATCTGTAATAGAAAGAGCCCTAATTCATATCAATGATACCCACGAGAACACTGCTCACACACTCTTCCACTACTGAATGTGACACTTCTTATGAATTTAGTGTAGTTAATGACTGAAAAAAATTGCAGATGAGAGTTGAAAATAAGCACAGGATAATTCAAGTGTTTTATTGTTCTGTGTTGTCTTTGGTCATATTTCATCAAAGTTTGATTATAATAATCTTCAGGGAACCACCCAAGGGAATTCAACACATATCACTCAGACAAAAGCAAAATTATCTCAAACCATTGTCTTGTAAGGTTATTCCATCACTAGTCCACCCTGTTAGTCAACTTCTAGTTTTCCATCTCATCTGTTTTTTTTTCAAGTATCTCTTACCCATAATCTGCTACAATTTAGCTACACTTTTTAAATATTTGTCATTAGTCACATGTGAAACTGACAGAGAATACAAGCTGAATGTAAATTTTCTAAAAATATATATCAAATGACAGCCCTTTTTCAGATTTTCTAATATTTAAATAAACAGAATGGATTTGGAATTTGGACTCAAGTGTAATAGCAAAATAAATATGTCACATATATACATAAAAATCATAGCCTAAAGATAATCTTCCTCAATATTTTCTGTATATCTACATTTTGCCAGAGACCTGTCATATAAGGTCAGGTATAAAATATTCAACTTCTAGTGTCAGATAGACTTTCAAAAAGTTTTGAATCTTGTATCATTTCAAATTTCAGCTTTTACAGCTACGGATGGATGGTGGACCTGAAATAATGCCTTACATGTAGGCAGAGATTGAGATTAAGTGTTCTATTCATCTTCAGCCTTTAAAGAAGGCATGGACAACCCATAGCCCACAGACCACGTGCTTCCTCACACAGCTAGTAGAGTGCTGTACAAGACTGTAAACTTTGAACATTAACCTAATTCTTAGCAGTGTTTCTCACAACCTGCATACGCAGTGTTCACAAACTGGAAGCAAAAGCAGAAAGCTATCAATGAGAGGATGCATTGCACTGGTAATTCCACCTCCTATTCATGCCATGCAATGTGTAAAGGAAACCCTTGTATACCAGACTGTCCTTGTGGTAGTGAAATGCAGCAATTATTTAATAATGTATTAACCAAATATGAATGTTCTGACTGGGAGGATGGGCATGTATTGTCATGTGCATTTTCAGCATTAGTTATTAAATATGACGGTTTGTTACTTCTTAATAAATTTAATAAGTTAAAATAAGTTTTCAGCAGCCATGCTGAGACAGGATTTTAGCGCATGTCAGATTGGCTGGGTGTGAGTAGCCTGGCAATCAGGGAGAACCAGGACATGTGGCAATAGCTACAAAACTTTCCACCTTGTACCAAGCTTAGAATGCTATCTTCATTTCTTCAGGAACAAGATGAAGGTTTTTGATAAAATGATCAAAAATGATGCGAGAACAGGGCCTACAAAAGACGGTGGATATTAGCCTCATGGCTGCTCTGGGGCTCTGCACCAGCCCGCTCCGCACCAGCCCGCTCCGCACCAGCCCACACTGCACCAGCCCACACTGCACTCTGCAAAGCATATTTCTCTGCCCATCTTTAATCCTGCTTTTCATAATGTTAGTAAATGCAAAACAACTTTCAATTTTCTTTTCTTTCAATTCTTTTTTCAGAACAACAAAAGCTTGGAAAGAACTCCAAGGACCAGCCCGGCATTCCAGTCACCTTCTAACAGTGCCACATGAAGCACAAACATGCCATCAACCATTTTTGCTCGTGAAATTTTTAAAGCCATATTTTGACATTAATAATACTTGGAAAACATATGGTTCCTTAATTGTTAATTTTTGTATTCTACATTTTTGAAACAGAGTTTATGACAAATTCTCTTCCCTCATTTCAGCCAGGCAAGCCACCGGCTGACGACCCATGGCTTGAACAATCTTATGGAACATGGCAAAAAGTATTAATTGGATGATTAATTTACTGACAATAAAAATAAACTCTTCAGAGTATAGAAACTTGATAAATTTTACTATCATTACATAACACAGTCAGTATTCTTAAGCATGTATTTTTTTTTTTTTACTCTCCGTTTAGTGCTTTTGCAAAAATCAGCATATGTCCATATAAGCCAGAAATAAAAGGTTAAAGTTTATTTAAAGCTTAAGTCATATATGTCTAAATTTTAGAGAATGTAAACTATATAGTCTAAAGAAATGCTGGTTGAACTTCCACATGCATTTCTGTATGTCCTTCAGAACTGTGCTACAATGATCATTGGAATTTAGTATATCAAGATTTCTAACAAGCTAGCTAGGGATATGACCTTGGTCACCAAATGACCTTGATGAGCCAAGCAGTCAAGAAACAAATGATATTAAATTAGTAACACAAAATAAAAAATTACAATCCTCAGTGAAAACTTTAGGCTATCTCTTTCATATATTTAGGTCAGCTCTTTCTGTGTCACATTAAAGATGGACAAAGAAGTGCTTCAACTTTCAGAATAGTAAAATAATTTAATTAAAAGAAAATGAGGGGGCCTGGCCCTAGCTCAGTCCTTTAAGTGGCTGCTTCCACAAAGCTGTCAGCCTCAGGTTCCTGGAGTTCGAACCTCACAACTCTCCCGCTGGCCAAAAGTGCCCTGAAGGCATTCGAGGAAGAAAAAAAAAAAAAAAAAAAAAAAAAAAAAAAATGAGTTTTTTTGGATAGTTACAATTCATACTTCAGAAGCATCTTGTGAAATTCAGCTTCAGTGAAAGCAAAAGTGTTTTAACTATAGTTGTGAAAAATAAATAATAACAACCTACTGAGGATTATATCTAGCTCTTAGCAAAACATTTCCATAACATGAACACAATGAATTCCCATAATATCCTTAAGGAATACTATTATATTTATGTAAATAAAAGAAGAAAATAAGTATTAGAAGATTTTAAATCATTTGTCCACTCTTACAAAGATTTTAAATTGTGTTAAATTGGAAAGACAAAATCATATCCAGCTGTTATTAAGGAAACTCTCAAGAGATATTGCAAATGCATTTTATCATATGTATATATATTTTTTTTCTCCCCATACTTTTTCTACTTACTTGGTAATAATTGATCATAAACTGTCTTGTATCATGGTATGAAATGTGATTCTATATTCTCACTCTTTCCCTGTTTCATAAAGCTTTACATTTAAATATTAGCTTAAGATTCACAGCATTTCTAAAATGACATTCTTCACGTCTTTTTTTGCATTTTTTTTTTTTTTTTTGTATTTTAGGGTCTACAGGGTGTTCAATGTCTCACTACTAGATTGGACTCGTAATGATCTACCTGTTTACAGCCTCCCAAGAACTGGGATTATGGGCATGCACCACCACGTCCAGTCTCAGTTGCCATCTCAGCATGCTCCGGGGGCAGGGCCAGCAGGGCAGGACCAGGCATTGAACCCCTGTCCCCTGGGCCTGCTTGCAGGTGCTTTAATCCACTGAGTTATTTGGCCAGCTCCTTCATATCTTAATGAATGTACTATGTGTTTTTACAGTGTTTTCAATAATATGCACATTTGGAGCACAATAATGTAATAAGGTTCCGACTAAATCAGATAATAGATAAATTGATGTAATAGTAGATTAGTAACCCTAAAAGAAGAATCTTCCCTGACTGTGAAAGATTAGTCACTGAACTTGCAATCAATTAGGTACATTTATTAAATAATTTTTCCATCTTTTTTCTATATTGACACAGTGTCATTATTTGTACCAGAAAAGTTCTATGTGTATTTATTTAAAAATAAACCTCATAAAATTTCCTCTGTTTTTTTTTTTTTTTCTGTATTTTAGGGAAGAGTCTACAGGATGTTCAGGGTCTCATGGCTAGATTGGATTCTTAGTGATTCTCCTGTTTGCATCCCCCTAAGAACTGGTATTACAGGAGTGCACCACCATGCCCAGTCTCAATTGCCATCTCAGCATACCCAAGGGGCAGGGTCAGCATGGTAGGCCCAGGAATCAAACCCCTGAACCCTGTGCCTACATGCAGGCCCTTTAATCTGCTGAGCTATTTGGCCCGCCTACAATTTTCTCTTGACAGAAATAATGTTCTGAGAAGATTATTTACTTTATATAAAGCATATACATTATACAAATTTTATTTCCAAATTGTTTAATTTTTGATATTATATATAAAAGTCACAAGTAAATACTTTGTAGCTTTGTTCTACATTTAAATATTTCTTGATGATTGACATATATCAGAGTGCATGTGAATAAAGTCTAAAATATATGTTTCCAAGTTGTCTACATATAAAGTTATTTGGAGAAGTAAAATCTCCTTTCTCATATCATATTCACCTCAATTGAATCACTCTCTCAAAATATAAGCAGATATCAGTATTTCCTAAATCTAGACTGGTGACTCTAATGAGCAGCAAGGATTGAAAATTGCTAGCCCCAAAAAACCTGAATGAAAACAGAGCACAAATTTTCCACACTATAGTATGCAGAATAATTAATATAAAAAGTTCATAGTGTTTTACATTAATTTATGTTGCTTAATAGCATTGAAAATATATTTTCTTCTTTATAGAATTCTAAATATGGAGAAATAATCATGTATGTGGAACTTGCATTTTGGGATGTTTTCATATGCATTTATGATTTTGGCACAAATTTATTTTTCTAGTAAGGCAGAATGAGGAATCTTCAAAGTAGATGACTAATTTTACACTGTGAACACAACCATACTAGTCATTGTCAGGGATATGTTGGAAAAATTAAAATCTCTGGGGACAGTCTTCTCTTAGAGTAAGAACTGTGGAAATGCTTAGGAACTGAAACTGGCAGAGAAATTGATGTTTCTGTGCCGACTTAAAGGAATTTATATACTACCAGATGTATTAAATGAATTTAAAAAGTGCATACAGAAATTTACTTGTATTTTTAAATATTGAGGATAAACAGAAATAAAACAAAACAATTTAAAATGATATCAATAAAACACAAAGCTTGGATTG